GTGTGTATGCCCTGCGATGGACTGGTGTCCCCTCTAGGTTTAATCTGCCTTGTGCCTGCTGTTTGGTGGGATAGGCTGTTTCCGAACACCCTTACGACACTTCCAGGAGAAGCTCTAACTGTGTAGAGTTCAATTAGACACAATTACTTCATGTTTAAATGATGGATCACCTGTGTAATGTCACTTTGGGTCTTTATTTAGGATGACCAGCGCCTCTAAGAATGTTTCACACCTGGATATTTATTTTGTGGCATTTGCCATTCAGTGTTAAGATTGAAATGTATCTATGCCAGGACCAATATATCCTTTTTCAGTACAGTGTTTGTGGTAATATAGGTTGGCTGTGTCTAAGATATAAAAAACACTCAACATAGACAGAAATGCTGTCAAAGCTCTATGACGGGCCTTATTAATGAAAAAGCTACACTGTACTGTGCTGTGGCTTCTCGCATTTGCACAGCAATGTTCTGACCTTGTTAGTTTACAACAGAGGTACTTTACAGCTTAGTTTAGGGGAGTGCAGGTGTTCGCATTTTTCAAACAGTCACCCTTTAATGTGGTTTAAGAAGGTAGCTAGCATTTTTTTTATTGCAAGATGAGACGTCCGGCCTTTTTGCTCTCTGTTTGAAGTGAACATTGTTTTCTGTGACAGCCAGCACTTACAAGTGAGCATCTTCTGACAAACTTTCTGGCGAACAGCGGCACCTGTCTGCGCTGTGGAACTTGTGGTGTGTCAAGTAATGAATGTCTGTGCAGGGGGACGTCTCAGAGGAACATGCCATTGTCTCTCAATCTTGTTTTTTTCCCCAACAAGTGGCAGTTCCATATTCTTTGTATACGTGTTAAGATAACTGTCAGTTGTCCCAGTTGATAAGGACAAACATTTGTGAGCCCAGATTTTGTCTGCCCATCTTAATCTTTAATCCTTTTACACCATTTTGTTCTTCTTACTTTTTCTGTCCTCTTAGTCTTTTCGCTGTTTTTGTCTTTGCTTAGGTTATTTGCTTTTGCTGTTCCTTGCACCATTTATTTTAACATACTTCTGAAAGCACATTATGAGGAAATAGTCAGGAGTCATTGTAAAGCTACTGGATTCAACAGCGTGAAAAGCAAAATTAACACTTTATATTTAAGTCTTTAAATGAATCGGGCCAATATTTTACATTTTGCTTGCAAATCCATTTCAAATTACTGTAGACATAATTGAGAGAATGAAAGCCTGTGGTTGAGTACATGAGGCATAATGGGTCTCTGAAATGCTCTTAAACAAGTATTAAATGTACAGTACTGTCCTAGCACCTAAGTCCTAGATAAGTGATGTTTTAATATGGGTTTAGAACAGGAGGTATTGCTACTGTCTCATTGGTGAATCTTTATACTTTCTAATTTTGCGCTTGCCTGCTCATGAAGTTATGATAAAAATTCTGCTCTTTGCTGAACTCCAAAAACCTATTTGTAATTTAAATTACAACCCTCAGGATTTTAATAAGTAAAAGCTAGACCTCTGATCTCCTGGAAATGTTTTCTAATAATGATTGAAATTAAACCGAGCCCAGATGCTGGTCTTCAGGCCTGTTTTGATTTCAGTGCGAATTGCTTTAACTTATTCATCATCACAGGGACTCCTCTCATTGCTCGCTGTTTTTCTTTGGACGCTAGCTTGTGTTCTGTGTCCTCCACTGCCTCCTGGGTGTTTCCTAAAAGACTCCTGTCAGCGCAGTGTGAGTGCCTGAATCAGAAACTTGAAGACTTAATGACGCATCTCTGGCTTACAAGTAAAGGCACTGACTTCTAACTGTACTGTGGCTCCTGTATAGTAGAAGAGCAAAGGGTCTGCTTTCTTTGCAGAGATTCAGATTTTCAGATCTGACTGGGGGACAGAACTAACCAGACACATTTCAGAGGAAAAGCTACGTCTACAGAGCAGAACGTACAGAATTGTGTTGGTATACATCTTGACTAATATACTGTTACAATGCCTGGTAGCTAGAAACTACACTGGAGTTCTTGTGTGTTCTACCAGTTTTGCCAGACAGGCTGTTTCCTTCCTGTGTAACAGTCATTGCATGTCCCAAGAATACAGGATCCCTGTCGTGGAACCCCAACACAACCGACTTTTTAGGAGTGATAAGTGAGGTTTGAGGGCGGCATAGCAGCACAGTGGTTAACTTAGCTGCCTCGCGGCGCTGGGGCCCTGGGTTCAGTTCCAGACCTGGGGTTCTCCCTGTGTGGAGTTTGTAATGTTCGCATGGGTTTTCTCTAGGTGCCCT